AAATACAGTCCGTTTCACGAGCGTCGACGATATTATTTTACTTCTCCATCCTTCAATGTTTTGCCCCGCGTTTTGATCTTGACTGAATTTCTCGAGCTGTCGATCGAACTGAACGTCAAAAGAAGTTCCTTCGACTGTTAAAATTTAGTCGTTCGGAAATCAAGTTTTCAATTTATAATTAAATTATGGGGCTCGATGTCAATCTCATTTTGAATTAAATGTTCTGAATTTTTTTATTTCCTGGGGGTCATTTGAAAATGTTTGATTATTCCTCCACCGAGCAGCGTTGAGATTCTTCTTGGACGCGTGCAGCATAAATCCGAGGAGGGTCTAGAATTTTTGGAAGATCGAGAAAGTCTATAACACGAGGTGGATGTAACACGAAGGTAGCCATTTCGAGCAATCCCTATAAAGGAAAACAGCCATACCTTACCGGAGCTCAAAATTGGCTATTACTCGGAAACGAGGTCAAACGGGCCGCATGTTTATACGAACTGTTTTTATATCCTTTGTCCAGCGAAGTGGATACTGCGTGTTATGAAACACCTTATATTTCAGGTTGCGCGGCCGAAAGTGGTAAATCGAAGATTTACTGACCGAAAGTTTCAAATCGCTGCCGCGTTCTCTTTCGTTTTTTGCAGCGAGAATCTTCCGCGAGATTTAAACGAGCTCGGTCTAATGGAATGGAACGGAATTATTTTTATCAGTCCGCCTGCAACGAATATTAAAAAACATGCCCACGCCATGAACCACCATGTTTTGCCAGTGGCAACAACACGTTCTGGCAAAGTTTTCTCTTCTGCAAATGGACGGGGCGCATGTTCTTCGACGCGACCTAAATACTTGGAGCTTGGATTTCTCGGTTCAAAGGACTCTGTTCCAGTACGCGGATGTCCAATTTTTGCGACGTTTTGCTTACTCCGACGACACTTTACGATTTTTTTTTTTACGGAAACAATGATTCCCCGGCAGCTACACGACCGTTTAAACCAGAAGCTACGAGTTGCCTTTTCGCTGTGCTCGGAAATACTGCATTGGGTCTATTATTTATTATTGGGTTCTATACGAATTTTTCTCATGATATTACGATCACATATATCACTTGAGTTAACAAATGATCCACTGTAATCTCAGAAATCTCTAAATCACGGAATAAAAATTTTTCGATCGTCTCATAAACAAGAGAATAATCAAAACTGATCACGGTTCGGGGTGGTCCATCCTGTATGGCATAATAAAAAAAAAGCCGGAGAGGAAATGAATTCCTTTCAAGGCCGTGTATGATATCACATCACGTAGGAAAGATACGACGCGCGAACAAATACGTGCTTCCTTTATAGTTTGGGCGATAGACCGGATGTGGGCCCTCAAGGTCGTTGGAACGAAGCCCACGTTGCTGCTTTTCGGGCCGGAATGCTGATCCGCCTTCGGATCCATCCGAATCGGGATCCCCGGGATTAGTATCCATTTCCCCAAGGCACGATGGCTTGGCAGAAGCTCTGATAGGATTTATTCCGAAAGGCAAGGGGTGAAATGCCGGATAGAGAGGGAAGCCGCGCGTATGGACGTCACGAATACCAAATACACTATATTCCGGCGATCCTTTTATTATTCCATCATGGCAACGCTACCAGGATCCGTACAATGTAAATTCGCCCGAGGTAACAAGCACGCGCGGGTCCGGGGGAATCATGTTAATGTATTCTCCTAAGACGCTGTCGACGTTTCTGGTTAAGGGTTGAACTTTTCCCGGCGATCCAAGGAGCCGCGGTAAACGTTTCGTGTGCCTGCACAGACTGGGCGATAACGTGGAAACGCGTTTCCGTATCGTAACACCTTTCTAAGAACTCCTTATAAAATAATAATTAATGTCCACCCTGTAACCTATCGTGAAACGGAAAGTGTTTATAACCAGCAATAATGACGATTTTAATCGGTTCGTAACTCGTAAGATCGTGATATAGACATACATAGGTGGTCGGTCGAGCACTTGTGAGAGAGCGTGGCCCTATGCTGGCGAGCTCAGGAAGTGTCACGCCATAATAATAAATGTTATTAGTGTGCAAATATATTGGGTTGTCCGGAAAGTTCGTGCCGAATTTGAAGGAAAATTGAAACGCAGAAAATTTAACTTTTAATATACATTTATTAAATTATATAGGTGCCATTCTGTTCTACAACCGTTCTCCACCTTTCAGGCAACTTGAAAATTTCGTCCTTCCAGAATTTCTCAGGTTTTTCACTGAAAAACTACATGATTTTTTTATATTAACCAAAGAATTGAAGTTTCTTCCATTAAGGGAATTTTCTAATGATCGAAATAGGTAGAAATCAGAGGGTGCGAGGTCTGGTGAACATGGTGGATGGGGTAGAACATCCTAACCAAGTTCCAACAACTTTTGTCGAGTCATCAAAGACACATGAGGCCACGCATTGTCCTGATGAAAGACGACGTCCTTCCGATTCGCTATTTCTGGACGTTTTTGTTCAATTGTTGTCTTTAATTTGTCTAATTGGGAACAATAATTCTCTGAATTTATTGTCTCATTATTTGGTAAAAGCTTATAATACAGAATCCCTTTCCAATCCCACCAGACACAGAGCATGACCTTCTTTGGATGAAGACCGGCTTTTGGGGTAGATAAAGGTGGTTCATTCCGCATTCCCCAAGATCTTTTTCATTCCACATTGTTATAAATGATCCACTTTTCATCCCCCGTCACCACTTGCTTCAAAAATGATGTCTCCTCGTTACGTTTATAGAGCAAGTCGCAAATGGAAATGAGATCCATTAGATTTTTCTCCGTTAAATCGTGGGGAACCCATACGTCAAAGCGGTTTATGTAACCAAGCTTCATAAAATGATCGTGGATGGTGGATTTTGACATATTTAACATTTCTGCTAATTTACGAGTCGTATAGCGTGGGTTGGTCTCGATGAGTATTTTAATCTCATCTTCATCAGTGGTGGGGGCCCTACCCGGGCGTTCTTGGTCTTCAAGGTTGAAATCACCAGCTTTAAACCTAGCAAACCACTTACGCACAGTCCTTTCAGCTACAGCACCTTCGTCATAACCAGCGCATATTTTGTTTGTCGCTTGTATGACATTTTTGCCTTTCTAGTAAAAGAAAAGCATTAAATGCCTAAAATGCACTTTGTTTCCTTCCATATTGAACGGCGTATAAAACTCACAAAAATTAACCCATCGTAACCAAATTTTTTTCCAAATATGCCTGAAATACCGTCTTTTACAGTATGTATGCTTGTCATTTGTTTTCAATCGTACTGATATATTCAGACCTGTCTTTACGCCACCTACCAAAAATCGGCACGAACTTTACGGACAACCCAATACCTCACAGTTTCTTAAACTTAGCGTCTACCTTTACACATTTGCAATTTTTCGGAAATATTTTGATTGCACTTTGTTCTTCTCAAAGTGCCCATCAACTTTCATTCGAAACATTTTTTTGTCAGATTAGTGTAAATGCTTCAAAATTCGGTCGTTAAAATGAACTCCCTGTAAAGCGTCGGAGTAAATGTTAAAATAAACATAGAAGATGGCATAAATTGTAGTAGGTGATATAATCATTAGGTAGAGGATGAAATGACCTTTAAAACCAGCGTTCGAACAAGTCGATAGCTTTATTAGTTCCGGAGATATAGCGATTTTAGTTTCAAGTCGATGCGATGGCTAGTTCCGGAGATATAAGGGTCCGAAGCGTTTGTTTACTTTCTTATTACGGTCTTGTCAAGGTCGTTGACCGGAACATGCTCGAAGAAACTAGGTCACTCGGCCACTCGGTCACGAGTCACGTAGTACGAGAAAGAGAGGTCCCGCGCGATGCGTCAGACGGAGACTGCGATATCTTCAAAATGGAAAGTCGGATCGCCAAAAACCAAAAGCCATTTTAAAGAGGAAGGTTTGCCGCTCCCAACGATAGCTCAATAATGGATAAAGCACTGGTGGTTTCGGAACTGCACGCGTCTAAAGTTTTAATACGCGTTACTAGACCGTTTATTAAAGTACTATGTACAACGTAAGTAAACAATTCGGATAATTTTGTGGCAGCTTGTCAATTTTTGGAACAATATTTGACAATCGTCGTTGCGTCATAATTCGAGCAGCATTTCTACCGGTTAATAATTACGAATTTAATCGGTTTATAATTAATTCCGAGGCCGTGACAGGAAGCAAACGTGGTGCATTATTAGTTAGGAAACTCACTTGGGGTGTATTTCAGCAGGTTTACGTACGTACAACGATATCTAACGGTCGACCAATATTCCTCAGAGAGGAGTTGTAGAGTCATGAGTATTGGTATTAAGCAATGAATTTGAGATTACTCCAATAACGATACATAAATCATAGCGGGGGATAAGTGAGGCGCAATATTAGTAAAACTCGTCACTTGGGGTTATTTTTTATGTAATATTATAATATTTTATATAATATTTTATTATATTATTATAATATTTTGTATATAATATTATATCACTTATAAGCCATGCCGTAAAAACATTTGTATCGAGCAATAATTTTTAATTGAATGGATGTTTAATTTATAGATCCTAGCAACGGACAACTGGTACGTAAAATTAATCAGACGCGTCGTTGGCAGTCTCTTTTAATCAATTTTGATTTTTAGAACGACATTTGACAGAAGCGATATTAATTCCACGATTATATTAAAGGATAAGGTTCCGTTAAAAATAGAAAAGCGCCGAAAGCTGATTAAGCTTTGCCAGGCCATACAACTGGAATACGTACTCATTATTTCATTAAACGCAATGTTGCAGTTTCCTGGACACTAATTTGTTTACTGTATAATATTTCGCAGAGAGTGCTTCTAGAAATTATTCAGGATAATTTCAAAATGAATCTATTGTTTTGATTTCTATTATAATCCCTAGATATTTATTAAATTTTAAGTTCTTGGGTACGAAAAATTGAATTTGATACAGACGATATTGTTTAAAAGCTGATCGAATCTTTCAGGGGTGAGCACAAGGTCTCATTCGTTGGTGAAGAGGTTCGACGGGATTTACACAGGGCCGTACTTCGACGCAAACACCCCCACGAACATCACGGCCCAGTTGGGAAGGCATGCTTACTTGCCCTGCAAAGTGCGGCAGCTTGGTAATAAATCGGTAAGTCCACAACCTTTGCCTGCGCAGACACTCTAACTTTAAGAGTAAGTGATAAGCTCCCAGCGAAACGTTCGCGTAAATTTCTGTTGTTTATAATTCTTGAGGAAGTTTCTAATATGCACAGAACCCTCCACAAACTGAATCGAGTCCGTTTAAACACGGATTTGAAAAGCCTCGATTATTCCATGCTAATTTATACTCCAGTAAAGGATCAACCGACGCCGAATAAACGATTTTCAATTTTAAATTAATCGTCGATACTTTATCTTTAACAAGCAGAGAGGAAAAGAAAGAAGTTACGTTCCGGTTGATTTATCGATCCCCTTCGGAACATTGAATTTCATATAACGGGCACATCTAAAACTTGTGCTCGATTGCACGATAAAACACTTAAATTGAAACTTTAATTGTCCGTGGAAACGATGACAAATATCTGAAAACTAAAATCCAATCAAAATACAATTGCCAGTCTCAAAGGTAATTGAACTAAACCAAGGATTGCTAGTGGATATTGGACCACGTTCCTCGATAATTAATAAACGAATTCTTATACAAATACAAAAACCAGTTAGCGATTTGTTCTAAATAAAAAAAAATAACGTGAACAAGCTTCTCGATGCTTCTATATTCTAAATGCTCTTTTTCGTATCGACACAACCTACTAAAATAGTAATCTTTTCTCTGACACGAATCCGTCCTTTTAGCAAGTTCCACCGTCCACGATTTTCTGCTACGTTGTAATTTTAATTGAGCACTTAGCGGAAGACAAGCGTCCTAAATATGTTTCTCAAGCATGTTGCCCGAAAATATGCCTCGTGGAAGTTGAACCTCCAAAAGGGTGGTTTCGTTTCAAAGAAGAGATTATCCGCATTTCCTTGAGAAAACCTTCCTGATTAAATTCACCCTGAAAAGGACCTGGTACCAGGTCGAAACGTCGCGTTATAACGCGTCAAATATACACTGCATTATCAGTTTCCAAGTGGTTTCGATCATTTTATAGTATTTGTTAAATTTGTACTCCTGGAATGAGTCAAAGATCGAAACGTCGGGTTATCGTACAACGTAACTTAGAAATTGAATTGTTCGAACATTTTCTCCACGTCGAATCAAACGATAAATCCATTGTTTCCCCGAATAATTGAATAACATTTTACAGTTTCCAAAGTCCGCTTTTATCGAACTCGACGCGTTTCTAGGGGCCGAACGAAGCGCTATTAAAGTCGCGTTTACACCGTGTTTGTTTGTTTAGCTTGCACCGTGGCGCATCGTTCCCGAAACACTTTGTACAACGTAACAGATGAAGATATTACACGGTGCAGCGAGGATGAACGTGCCCCGACGGGCAAATTACGGATTCCTTAATTTCCTGGTCGATCATGAAACATTCGCTAACTTCGAGCGTCGTTATCTCGTCCCCGTTCCTTGCAAAAAGCACGGCCGGATACCGCCGCCGCCTGCGCCCAGATAAAGCAGATTTATTTGCACGCGAATACCTAGTTTTCTGTTGCCCCGACGTCGATGGTATCGCGGCGACCGTCGACTCGTCGGTTTCCATGAACTCGCTGATCCGCCATCGAAAAAGTTCCCGCCTCGCGTTCTAACGCTGGTCCCATCCATATTTCGCGCCGTGGAAACGTCCGGTTCGCGCTATTACAATAATCGAAATAGCGACGATAACCTGATACACACGGTCCGAACGGGTATCTCTCAGTTACAGAATTTACGCTCAACTATAAAAGTCTAATCTGTCCGGATTCGCGGCCGTTAGAACGGGATTATACGAGCCGCGCGAATTTTATGACCCAAGAGGGAGAAGGAGAAACAGACAGGGGGGAGAGAGAGAGAGGGAAACAGATGGACAGATAAATAGATCATTTATCGCGTGCTCCCGGTACAGTGTCCCCTAAGACCATTAAGCTGCAATACAGACTGTTACATAGTTAAAGCGCCGGTGAAAAAATTACGAGAAACGCAACGGATGGTGATTGAATACGGAATGACTCTGCGCAAATATAGGATTACATCAATTAGATAATACTGTAGGATTCAACAAAGAGAATTGTATTTGGAACAAACGTGCAAATGATCTAATTATATAAACGAATTTGAAATAATTAGCAACACAAATTAATATCACATAAGAATCACGTCTGTCGTCGCGCTGCCCTTGGTTACTCATTCCTTCTCGAAGAAAACACTTTCAACCCTTTTGCACATAAATTAACATTCAACGAAATTAAAGCGCGGCACAAATATTCAATACAAATCTCCTACAATATATTAATAATACATATGTTAGGAGGATCTGTTAGAAATGTTTCAAACGGTAATGAGAAAGTAAAGAATAACGTTAGAAAATTTAATAAGTAGAAACATCGAGCAACGGTCAGACGCGGCAACCGAACTCTTTTCGTTTGAAATTCGATTATCTCGAAGCCCGAGTCTCGAATGAAAAAATGTTATTCATAGTTTTCGATTCGTTTTCCCGGATCATTCCCCGGCGATTCGTTTGGATGTTTCGTTACGCCGCGTCGGGTTTTGTTAATGCTTCCGCGAGCCACTGTTCGCGTAACGAGTTCGACTTTTGGAGGGAGAAGGAAAAAGAGACGTTTTACCCGCGACAAGGTAACCCAGATCCAGCGTCGACGGGGAACGAGTTCGGGCCTGGTAAGGGCGCGTTTAAGGGCGTCCCTTGAAAAGCGACCCGGGACGCTGCCGCGGCAGTAAAACTTTTCGTACGCGGTCCCGTATCGCTCATTAGCGAACTTTTAACCTCCCCTCCCCTTTGTGTATACGGCAACGAAAGTTGTACATACGTCGAAAGAGAGCCAGGACTAAGTGTCTGGCGACACGCGACCCTTGTATAATCGTTCGGTTACGTACTTAAGGGTCGCGACCCCGCCGCCGTCGCCGCGCTACCCCTTCACACCCCCGATACTTATCGCGCGCGGAATTAAACGTACTTTTACCGCTGACTTTCTGTCAACGGCCATTGTGCGCCCGCCACACTCGGAAACACGATTGAAAGCGATTGTTCTTTGCGGACAATTTCGCGGAACACGTGCCCGGCCCGACGTTGTCCCCCGCATTTCCGTGTTTCGTTCCGGGAAATGCTCGAATACATTACTTTGTTGGGGGATTTGTTCTTGAATTGGTTGATCAAACATCAGCTGCCCCCGTTCTATCGATCGAAACTACTATGAAACGCGCGCTAGTGCTTCCTTTTCGTGTTGTACGAATTACACGTTCGTGGACATTTACACGCGACTAATTATTTTCGACAAACAACACGCGAGAAACTTTTTATTCCCACCGAAGGTGTTGCTCGAATTCACCCGAGTTTCGATAATAAGAGTAGCTAAAATCTCCACGGTTATTTTTATTCAAATGCAGAAGTGTCAGTGTTTCTCAACTGACGGGTCACGACCCTAAGAATGGGTCGCGGAAGCTCCTTATACCGAGTCGTGGAGTTGTATACTACCGTCTGTAAGGTTTTACATTTAATAATCATAAGTTTTCTCGTTCGCGCAAGAATCCTTAAGCGATAAATCCATGAAACGGATGATGCTTCTGGTCCGCGGAGCATGACAAATTTATGAATTTATTTTTTGTTGCGAAAACATAAACCTTTGAAATGGACGATCCTCCCGGTTCGTAAAGCAAGACATAAATTTCTCTATAAATTATAAAGCCTTTGAAACGGACCATTCTTCTGGGCCGTAAATTCATGTCTCGCTCTACGAGCCATAAGAATGGTCCGTTTCACGGGCTTTGTGTTTTCGTAAAAAAGAACTAATTGAAAATGTACAATGTAACGAACAGATTTTAACGTTATTCGATATTATAAATAATCGTATTTAGACACCAATTGATAGTACAACAATCTTAGTCCGTACCAAGCATAACGTAAAAACATTTTTTAACTTACAATTTTAAACCATATATTAAACCACATTTTCTCATTCGTAAAATACGCCAGTAAATTGTGATCAAGCAGTTCAAGAACACCCTGTATTTCGCTATGAAATTATAATTCTGTGTTCTTAGAACTCTGAATCTGTTTTGATAAAAGATCGAACCGTAGTGTAGAAAGCCCCCCTCGAGGCTTTTATCAGATCACTTTGCTAGACTTACTTTTTTATGAGAACTTCAACCGAACACGGTTCCGCATCAACTCAAACAGAGAGATAGAAGAATGCAAATTAAAATGAGACTCGAACGCGATTACATCGCAGACGCTAATCAAATCTGCTTCGTTTCCTTTTAAAAAAAAAGTATTATTTCTTTTTAATTCTAACAAAGTTAACTCGACCAGCGGACTCCATCGTCGATCGTTTAAATCAACAGTTAATCGGAACTCAGTAGAAGTACACGCCCATTTCAAGGTTTTGAATCATGGAAACACTAAGCTCAGCGATATCGGGTTCACTCCGTGGGTATTATTTATAAAGCTTCAAGCCAAGTAAACCCGATATCACTTAGTTTCGAGTTTCCCCCGTAATAATTGCAGCTCAGAAGTCGACGTTGAAACTGCGTTCATTAGTTCCGATGCCACGGAGTTACGCAAACAAATTTTTCTTCGAGTGAAATTACTACCATTCCTTGCCCGTATTACTCGGTCCCCGCGAGCCATAGGAGCACTTACTCCACTTCGTTGATTACAACTTCTACTCGACCATAAGTCGTCGTTACATCGTGGAAACACCTCCTGCCGCGCGTTGAATCGGCCTCGGCCAGGCGTTCGCGATACTTATCGCGCAAATAAATTGAATGTACTCCTAATATGCTTTTCTTGCGAACGCGAGCCGCGACGAAAGAACGTTAGCGAGCCCCGATCGACGGACGATAAATTAACCTTAGACAAGGGAGGGAAGATTGATCGACCGAGATCGGAAAGTCGAACGGGCTCGCCATCGCTCTTTTTCCCCATCGGGCAGCTTTTTCCGCGCTTTTTCGACTTCCAGTTCCTGTCTGTATTCATCGAACGAACCTCGCCCGGAATCCTCTCAGACGCAGCCTGAATTTCACTCCATCGCCAGAAACGTCTCTATCGCTTTATTCCCCTCCCCCTCTCCCTGCCCCGCATCTACGTTTCTCCCCCCTTGCGAAGAAACATCCGCGAAAAATATAACAATGGAGCGGGATGTATAGCAGAAAAGATTAATACTCTCCGCGGCGCTTCCTCGTCGAGAAAAAAAAAAGAAGTGCCGTATTGACTTTTCTCGTTGAGACTGATGAGAAAAATATATGATCGTGGCCGTGTCCGCTCCTTCCTTTCGATTCTATTTTTATTTCGAACGATCGTGCGCTGCAAGAATTCTGCTACTTGTCCCGGAAGGGGAAAACAATATCGCGAGAAAATTTTTTGGCGAGTTTCGGAGATATACATATACAGGGTGTTTGGCCACCTCTGGGAAAAATTTTAATGGGAGATTCTGGAGGCCAAAATAGGATGAAAATCAAGAATATCAATTTCTTGATTGAGGCTTCGTTAAAACATTATTAAAAAATTAAATTAAAAAATTTCAAATCCTTCTGGAAAAATTATTTCCAGTTGTGGGGGTCAATTATAATTATTTTTGGCCATTAGACATACCCCCGAATTCCTACCCACTTTCGAGAAAAAAATTCGAGTAGGTGTGAAATTTTTCAACAAAATTAAGAAATTTCAAATCGTTTTGGAAAAATTATTTCCAGTTGCAAGGGTCAATTATAATTATTTTTGGCCATTAGACATACCCCTGAATTCCTACCCACTTTCGAGAAAAAATTCGAGTAGGTGTGAAATTATTCAACAAAATTAAGAAATTTCAAATCGTTCTGGAAAAATTATTTCCAGTTGTAGGGGTCAATTACAATTATTTTTGGCGAATACACACACCCCCGAAATCCTACGTACTTTCGAGAAAAAAATTCTTTATCGAAAACATACTGTGTAGCCGGAAATGTTTCTATAACTTTTTAACGAAGCCTCAATCAACAAATTAGTATCCTTGATTGTCATCTTATTTTGGCCTCTAGAATCTCCCATTAAAATTTTTCACAGGGTTGGCCGAACATCCTGTATATATACTTTTAAGTAATTTTCAAAATCGAAAGAACGAATATTCTTAAGAAACGGGAATGGAAATTGGTGGCGAAAGATCGTCAGAATTCTCGAGCCCCGGATCGTTAATCACGAGAAAGTAGAATGTGTCACGTAACTTTTAATCAGACGCGGACCGTACGAAGGCTGACCAAGATGACTGACACAATTTAGCTCGCAATTTCTTCCGCTACCAATCTTTCCTTCTCCGTGGAATACAGGATGCGTCGTAACGTCGACCATATTTTCGTGCTGACATGATATCCTATTCATCCTGCGCTTCCAATTATAAAAATTCTTGGGTTGCATAAATTATCCCGCCTGTTCCAAAGATTATTAAGCTCGAGTATCAAATGGAATACACTTTCCCAATTATTCTTGCATTTTCGTGGCAAAGAATAGAAATGCGTAATCGTCGAGTTTAAGAACGTTCACGAGTAATAATACGAGAACAGCGAGTTTGAACGATACGATCGATGTTTATCTTGTTTGTTCCCGAAACGTGAAAGGTGTCGTGGATCAGAAGGAGGGACTCGCATATCCTCGCCGTAGATAAAACCATGTTTGTCCCGGACGAGAGGTTCCAGGCGCTGTTCGTGGACGCTGTGGACAGCTGGACGTTGCAGGTGAAGTACGTCCAGCAACGCGACGAGGGCGAGTACGAGTGCCAAATCTCGACCGATCCGAAGAAGAGTCACATCATCAAGCTCAACATCGTCGGTGAGATCGCGTAGACACTCTTTCCACGACGCAGGCCAATAACGAGACTTCTTTGTCGACGCAAAACGTTATTTTTATAACGCTACGGACGAGCTCTCTGTTATCGATCGTCCAAGTACAGCGGAACCTTGGTAATTTTTTGCAAAACGGGGCTGAATATTCCAGCAACAAAGCAAACGAACCAATAAGAAAGAGCCCCCGCTCTTACAGCGCACGGCTTCGCTATCTATGATCACTGCCAGCTGTGTTTCCTCCACCTCCGACTTTGCTCGTTGACAAATGATCATCCCTGATCGATACGAGTCAACGAACGAAGTTTGCGTGCAATTATCGAGGTTCCGCTGTACTCCTCGGACGAAGTTTCAGCTGATCGATAACCGTAGGAGCATTAAGATACAGTATTCCTCTTTACGAGACCCGTAAAAAGGTAAGCATCGAAATTTCACTATCGAGACGTCCAGCGTCGATCCTTTTAATACGCCAAAACATAAAAATCTAAGGAACACGTATTATACTTTTTTCATTAAATTTCCAAAGTCAAAGATATTTCTCTTTATTCTCCTAGAGCTCTGTAAACTCGCATCATAAATTATTAACTTCCCTAAGCCGATCTCATTTCGCCGATTGGTTCTTCTTTACTTCGTTGTCCCCTCTCAACGATACCGATGCTCCTCTAATATTCCACGACCCGTTTCTCGTACTAATCATCAACAACATTATCGTCGTTAGTGCATCGTTCGAGCCGTACATCTACTCGCGTCCGTGACTCGTAATTATCTTCGATGACTTCGCTGATACGTAGATCGTACACATCCTCGTAATCAAGAAACGTTTCCTCTTACGCGTATTAAATTCATTATACTGTCGGGGAGTAATGCTTGTTAATTATCTTTTAATTGAGACACGTAATATTTAAAAATTCTAGCAGAAGTCGCGATCTTAATAACTATCAGACCGTAATTTTTGATACATAAATCTGTTTGTGAAATATTTGATGTTTCGAATATTCAGGAATTCCAGAGTTTCCTTTAGATTTTTGTGCTTAACGAAGTATTACAAAGATAAGAAGATCGTCTTCACAATCGCTGTTACAAATACGTAATCGACGAACGAACAATGAAATCATTTTTGGCCATGTTCGGTATTCGAATTCCTAAATTGCAATGTACGTGTGTTCGTCCGGATGACGATACGAAAGAGATACATTGGTGGTCGGTTTTTTTCAGTGCCAAAGATCGAGATCATAGGCGATCGCGACATGTACGTGAAGACCGGAAGTACAGTCGCCATACGGTGCATGATAAAACAGTCGCTCGAGGGTCCGTTTTACGTCTTTTGGTACCACGAGGGCAATCGCATTCTGGACAAACAGTTGGGCAAGATCGACATCCAGACGGAGAGGATCAATAACGACACGATCAGCAGTTTAGAGATCCACAACGCGAAGACGGAGGACTCGGGTAATTACACTTGCAGCCCGAGCAGTTTGGACAGCGCGAGCGTGCAGCTTCACGTGTTGAATGGTAAGCGTTTTCGCATCCCGGTAATATAAATCTCTTTCGCGTTTCAGCGAGGAAATATGTAGCGCCATCATGATGTCGCGGAATGGAAAAAATGTTCCCTTAAGTGAATTCAAAGCTGAAGATTCATTTTTAACTCTTACGGAGAGATCGACGACCCGGATAAGAAACGTTCAAATGGAATCAGTTCTAAAATACTAGCTGGTTACGCGCATTTATTAAAAATTACTATGAACGTTGTCTTCTCAACCTTACCAAACGTTAGGTGTTTTTCTATTTTTTCCAAAGGATTATACTATTTTTTATTTGAGGGGCTAGGATACATTTTCGTACTTTAATTCATAATAATACAAGAGACTGTCTTAATATTTGGAAAATAGTTGGTTTACATTTTTTGGGACGAGCTTTTTCGAGAGAAAAGTACGGAAGAATTATGTAACGCTTATATGTATTTCGCTGGCTTTGATCCAGAAAGTTACTGCTTATGAAAATTAAACGTTCGAAATCGGTTTTGTTAAATACCGGGGAATTGGCACCTAATATTCTAGAGTTCATGTATACTTATCGACCTCCTTTTAAGATCAATTCCATCCAGAAAGGGTTTATCTGGGTCGTGACCTCATCTTGTGAGTGTACCATTCATAGTGAGCACGAAGTTACGCTGAAAAATATCAATGTGTTTGGATGTGCTATTGCACCAGGAATAGCATTTTACTAGAGACGATCCATCGACTGTCGAATGTAGTCTCTGACGTCGACTGTTCGATTTAGAAAACTTTTCGTTAAAGAAAGCCGTCGAGTTTCTTACGATATTCCAACGTTCGTGCAAATATTATTTATTTATGAAGAATATACATGATTTTTCACCGAGTTAAAAAAAATCAATTCTCAACATTAGAAACTAAATGTAGACTCTTGAACGAGGCTGTAAAAATAAATTTCACGACAAATCGTCGACGTGCTAGTTTCCAATTGTTCTAAAACGAAGTTTATTTCTTATTATCGAATTGTATGCCGCAGGTGAACATCCAGCCGCGATTCAGAGAGGGATCAGCTCTGCACCGGGTGGTTATCCAACGCTGTGGTGGCTGGCAGGCATCGTGACGCTGTATTCGAGTCACGGCAGCCGCCTGTTCGTCCTCGTCCTAATGATTCTCATGGTCCTTTACTCGAAGACCCCATCTTATTTCGCACCAGAACGATAATCAGGAACGAGAGAAGGATGGTGCCGCAAGATGATCGATTATCTCCTGCTACGAGACCCGGAACACGCCTCGAGGAACGCTCCAGCGACGAGAAACGGGACGAAGAGCACGCGAGACAAGCTCCTTCGGGAAATGGCTTCGCCAACGAAGACCACTGGATTATTCGAAGAAACGCAGGAAGAATATGCGACGAAGAACGTGGGATCGACAAAAGTGGGGTCGATTGGTTCCTTTTGGCCAGCAATTAGCGTCTTGCTTCAACGAGGAATGCGACAGAGAGTTGAAACGTCGGTCGATCGGATGGACAGACGTTGAAAATGTTATCCCCGACGCTCTGCGTTTCGAAACACCAGAAACGCTCCAGAAACCAACGACGATCGTTAACGTTCCGATGATAACCGATTTTTCTCTGTGTACGAACGGCAGATCCACGGACGGGGAAAAGAGAAACGCGTTCCGCGCGTCGAGACAATGTGATCCGGCCGTTAGCAATTAGGGGTTAATTACTCGCGGGGCTTCTCGTTAAATCGACGCGAGTTCTTCGCGCGGTCGATGGCTGCGACAGAAAATAAACGCTCGCGCAACAGCGACGAACGACACGAGGCTCGCGAATACAATTTTTCCCCCCCTTCATTCTCCTAGAAGAGAAAAAAGCGACACGAATTTTTTATAGGAACTATAAATATAAAACTACGATCTTCCACAACAACTCGAGCGTACTTACGATAGCGTCTTTTGTATTCCCATCGTTTTGAATCGATCGTTTTAATAATCTCTATACGTCACGCGAAATCATTGTATATATTCGTCTAACGATAGCATCGTGAAAGGAACGCGTACGAAACGGTCCCCGGATGGAAGGCGACCGGAAACGCGAGTTCGAGACCGAGTCCCACCGCCCTCTTCTTGTTCATTATTCATCATTGTCAAAAGTGTGTGTCGCGATCTTCGTGTCTTTCTCGCCAAGGGAAGCCAAACAGCAACAAGGTCTTCGTGATCGATCGCAAGACTCTGTCGAGGAGATTGGGAGGGTTTCGTAGTTTCTTTCGCATCGAGATTAACTCGACAACGCGCGAGTGTGATTCCAGAAGGAGGAAAGGAGCGGGCCGAGCGATAGGGGATGGAACATTGGGCGGGGGTGGCGGTGATGTAACGAAACGGTACGCGAGGGGATCGCTAAACGCCGACAGAACTTCGTCCGCGCCGCTCGATAGAATTGAAACTTGTTCGATGAATTTTTTCGAAGCGATGTGATTAATTATATTCGAATAGGAAACGATTAGCGAAAACGTGTCTATACTCGACTGTCCACCGACAGAAATCCGGGATCGTTTCGAGCCAGACGATCCGTCGAAACGGTTCGACGCATGTTGTACGTGTACGCACTATAACTTTCTTTCGCTTTTTCCGCGTCCTCTACGCGAACACTTTCTTCGATGTTTCCTTATTTTTCTATGAGACTTTCAGTAGACTCGGTATTTAGAAGTTTCGATGCTTGTATTTTCCGTAAATGATACTGCATGTGTTCGAACGACGTTGGGACTAAAATATTTAGCAATTCCAGCCAACAGTATCCTAAACAACGTGTTGCCATTTTGTTGGAAAGTTTAAACAATTGAAACACGACGCGTACGATCGAGATGAAAGCGTGATAATTATTTTCAGAATATAGATGTTATTTTTGTTTTCTGCTTAGAAGAATGTATATACAATTGAGAATTTGTACGATGAAAATATCTCGTAGACGCACGTGTTTTATTTATTGAAAATCGTTTCCTTCCTGTCCTCGGAGAATCCAACGAATTTAAAGATCAGTCTTTGTTCAGCCTTGGTTAAAGAAACGGAAACAAGTCTAATGGCAAATCAATGGTGACTCTACCCGTACCTTTATCGTACGTTTATTTCCGGAGGAAACGACGTTAAGGTCGCTTCTCGTTCGTCGGAGAACCATTCATATCAACGATGTCGACCCTCCATATCAGAGTTTCTTGCAGTTCCTGAATATTCTGGTGCCAGATCAAACCGGAAATCACGATGAGTCGTGATCCGCAGATCGGCCACTTCTTCGAAACGTCATTTACTCTACGAATCACTGCCTGTATTGCTGACACTGCCTTATATTGTTGTATTGCCGATGAAATTCTGTCAATGAAGTTTTATTGAAACGTACCGAATGCCTCGGGACGATCCACGGTGACAGATGTTTTGGTATTCCAAGCGTATTGAGTATAGACACGAGCCAACAAAAAGTATTATATGCCCGTGCATGCGTGTCAAAAATTCGGAACGGAATGGGTCCCGTAAGAAGTGATTTGCTAATTCACAGACGAAAGTAGTCTTAGACGTTCGCTGTTCCATTAGCGATAGAAACAAGGATGTTCGATTCTGAATCGATTTTTTTTAAAAGCAAATATTTTCGTTGGGCTTTCAGTACGTAGAATTATTATTTTAACTGGTATTAAATTCCTGATTAATGGTTTAAATATAAACACGATGATCTTATTCAAAGATTTCAAAGTATATACGAAGCTCAGTTCTAATCGCTTCGATTAAAAATCCACTCGAGAATCGAAATTCCTGGCCAGAGGTACGATTTACGACAGAAATTTAGACGCGACCAATGTATTTGAACACTCGACACGATATCGACAATACAATTCTGTTATCATGCCAGCCAAAATTCTCCCTCGTACTTTTTGTAGTTTCTCGCCTACTCGGCGTATCGTTTTTCTCGAATTTTATCGATCGATACGTAACGATGGCTCGAGGATCGCGATTACGATCCATCTTACCGGCTCAGACCCGACCGTTTTATCATTCTGCATGTTCGGCTGTATAAACATACGGACGGACAGCTTTTCGGGCCGCCCGAGGCGACCCGTAAATTTGCTTTTTTCTCGCAAGAGCTAGAAGATACTGTTTTTTATAATACTATATATATATATATATACAAACGAGACAGAAAAAAAATATATATATATGTATATGTGTGTGTACGTGCGCGAATACGTTGCACAACGGTGTTGAAATATTGAACAAGTTTCAGCTCGACGTAACATGGCGGCGCCAACAGATAATACAGGAGTCGCTGGGGTGCAGTGCGGGGGGTTAAATTAGAAAAACGTTCTGCGGTGGCGTACGCACGGACGTAATCGTGACGGGGAGACTGTGAATAACTGCGAAGAAAGTGAAAGAAATTAGAGGGAGACGAAAAGGTGTGCTGAGAGAAAGAAATGAAAAATGGAAGTTAGTCGAACGAGACGAACGATACGTTAGAATATCTACGATTCATGTGATTGTAAATACATAGTATATAAATAACGTAACGTTAATTAACGATATGCCGTACGTGTTACACTAAAGAAACAAAAAAAAAAAAATAAATAAATAAATAATGTTACTGTGTAATTTTTCGGATCGTAAACGCATTCGAATGGGTCTGGCCGCCCGTGCTAACCGGCTCGAGGCCCGTCATTCGAGCCAACAGCCGGCTATGAATTAATCAAAGTTGCGAACAAGGGCTCTTTCGATCTTTCGATGCTCGTCGATACATTATTAAACGAACTTTGCACCGCGTTCTTTCATTCTCTCGTTTACGAAAATTCCATCGACTTTAAACGCTCCTCCCATTCGCTATACACACACATGGATGTTTTGAATATAAAAAAAATGAAAGGATACAAAATTAAGGAAGCTGATACGCGACTAGAAGACACGCATTATATTATTTGGTTAATAATAGGATAAGTATTGAGGCACACGATTTATTTTTCTGTACTTTTCACCTATTCAGACCGGTAGTCGTACATTTACATTGAGCGTGAATATACCGACGCCCGTCTCTGAGTGGTTTAACAGCTTCTCTGTCTCTGCGCGTTCGCAACATGGCGGCCAGTGGCACCCCTCTCGACGTTGCTTTGTCGTGGAACTTCCAGGAGTTCGTCGCGGGAGGGAACGAAAGAATGAAAAATAGACGGAGAGAAACTAATATACAGAGAAAGGAGAGCGAAGAAGACAAAGAGCAAACGAGAGGGCACCGACGCGAATGCTTTTTTCTCTGACACGTCGGTGCACAGGGGCAACAAAAAGGAGCGCAGCTGTTTGTAGCGCGTTCCTGGATAGCACGGGCCGGCCACACGCGACTAAATAGATGTAACACTAATTAACGCCTAGCGTAAGAACTAACGGATATAAATGAAGGATATATTGTCTGACATAATAACCAGGTGTGAACGTAAACGCGTATACGTGATGTCCGCGGTGAGCAGTGTCTGTGTGTGGTGCATGCGAAACGGTTGGAAGCGATGGTTGAGTGTACGTGCGAACAAGAGCGAACGAGAGAGTAAATAGTTAAGAAAGGAAACGCATACACGGGCAAGAAGGGCAAACAATAAAAGGGGTTGTTCGTTGGACTGACGCGCCAAGGCGTTGGTCGAATGACGCACTTTAAAATAAAAAAGGGGCGACCGGGAACATTCTTTCATGTACCGTTTCTTCCCTTTCTTCTTCCCACGCCTCGCAAAGCCACTCGCGGCGAGTGATAAACAGAAAGAGCCAAAGATAGGGACTCGCCACGAGACCACAATTAAAGCTTGCGCCCCCTTTTTCGCACCCTTTCTTCGCGCACCGTGGTGCAATCCTCCGCGAGACGGAAGAAGAAAGTTGCAATTTCCGCGCTGGTCCTCGTCGCTCCTTTATTATAATTCAAATAACAATGATCGGGGTGGGAGGGGGGCGGGGGTAGGGTCGAATGACGAAAGAAAGCGACGATGATGATTATAAAGCCGACGATGGTGAATTGAATAAAAGGAAACGTCGTCTAAGGTATACTAACGTCGTAAAGAGCATTGAATTTTTGTACCATTGTCTATAGTAGCTCTTAAGTGTCGCGGAGTTTTCTGTTCTTAGGGTGCCCGCCTGTGCAGACTCGAATACGTACTTATGCATTCTCGGTTTTGTCGATGGCTCGCGGGGCGGATATTGGTTTCGAGTATTCGTTAGAATTCACGTGATTTGTTTGCGTTTCGTTCGAGTTCCGTGAAACGTGGCTGAATCCTCGTAAATAAAACTTTGCTTCCCCGATAAACTTCACGATTCCCGCGCCCAATGAAAGAAACACACCGAACGTCGTCCAATCCCGATAGGGAGGAACGACCTAACGTAGGTTGAAATCCGCCCCAGCGACAAACGCGCCCGTTCCCGAGAGTCGCGGTACGCGAATAGCGAAAGGAGATCCTTTTTTCGTGTGATGATTGACCGTCCTGACAGTTTGTCGATGTGCTCTTACGCGTAGATACTCGAGTTAGTTTTTTCGATAGTAGGTAAATACGTAAAGGCAGAGGGGTGATTCGATTCTACCGGAGACAAATCGGAATCAACGAACCGGAAGTAATCGTCTCAGCGAAGCCGCCGATCCGATTACCGACAAGAAAGTTCGATATACTGTCCTACGTGCGTTGCATGACGAAACTCGCGATCGATGGCTAAAGCTGAGTCGCTTGGTAAGATCCCGCGGGATTTGCATGCGAATCCTCGTCGGTGATACTTGTATACTGTTGCGAAACGAGAATGGTATGGATTCCACGAGAAGCGTACATGTATGATTATTGTGATTTTAACCCTCTACCGCTTGTTGCTGCCGTCAGCCATGGAAGGTGTTATAGGGTACTTATTTGCGACGATATCGTGGCGCCTTGTAAGTGTAGATAACTTTTAAGATGAAAAAAAAAACCAAGTATGTACCTTAGATAAATCCTTCTGGTGTAATTTGTATTTCCGTTTACTCGTCGGATCTTTCGTTAACAGCCATACACGTGTAAATGTATTTTTCTTTAACCTTAATGTACATACATATTTTCTCCGCAACTGTATTTAATCATTATATAGATTCATGGTTACATTTGTGTGCTCTCTCGACGCGTTACTTTGCATTTTGTACGCTTCTTATTTCGTTATCAGAGATCCTTACGCGGATAGTTTGCAGACGAAATAGAAAAGAACTTAGCTGTGGAGGGTTAGAAATAAAAAAAAAAGGGTACACGGTCGTCGATCGAAACCCTCGGGACGGCGAAACTTTCATCAACCCCTTGTAATCGGTGATGTTATTGTACGATTCGTCGCGCTTTTCTTATTGTACTATGAGTAAACGAGTGACCGCCATCGAGACTCCACGAATCTTCGTTACCGGCATCGTATTTGTTTGTTAAAAAGTCGCACGAGTCGCTTCCGTTCGGCGCCAATAAATCAGGAGTCTGGATCGCGTGAAAAAAAAGAAAGAAAAACCACAGTCCTGTCAAGAGCGTTTCAGTTTTTCGTGACACCTCCCCTTTTCGATGCGCGACAGATCACACGTAGCAATGGGTCTAATTAATCGTTAACGCGTGCCGTTTGCCAGTTCGAACGTTCGACGAAGCTGATGACAATTAATTATACGCAACGTACAATCGACTGAAAACCAAAAACGATGAGGCGGGTGTAAGGCGAATCGTGTAGGGTGTGACGATGGAAGGGGGTATAGCGTTTGTCGAGCGCACGAATGAGCGAACATCGATATAAAATTAACGTAAATTTAAAGACGAAAACATTAAAGAGAACAAACGAACGAAAAAGAAAATAAAAAAAAAAAAGATAAGCGAAATCTCTCGAAGCAAGCCTCGTCTCGCAGATTCTCGGCTGCACACCTTGAGCGCTTTAGGGTAAACGGGAATAAACATTATCGAATCTGCGAGATGATGTCGAGAATAATCGATTGTCCGATCGAGCACAGTTGTGAAACGAGCGGAAGTGCGAGCGCGTGGTTGCAGTGCCTGTATGAGTGCGAGACAAAGAATAAGCGACGGGATGAGAGATAATAAATCAATGTTAAACCGATCATTAACGATTTGCAATTTCGAGAGACACATCTTCGTTATCCGCCATTTCTCTGCATAAGTTCGGCCTCGGTTTCGAGAGCTGGACGCTCCGGCTTCCACGGACATAAATCGCAGCTGAATCGGCCGATGCTCTGCGTGGGGTTCGTTTTTTTTTCTTTTTTTTTTCTAAAAAGGCTAACATAACCGTTCGAGCTACCCGACGTTGATGTGCTGGATATTTTTAATGCATCGGAGGAAGCCAGATGCGAGCATTATTACCCACGGGGGAGCATCGTCCACGTCGAACTACACATTACACACAATTCTCAGCGTTTCCGTTCTTTCAAGGTATCGTGGCAACAGGGACGAGGAGAACTGTCCCGTTCTATGTGTGTAAGAATCATAAAGCTTAACGAAGAACATTATACTATGAACTTACGGGATACTAAATAAAAAGTAAGCCAAACCGTTAAGTACTGCAACGTGTCTTTCTTCCTTCAGGTACTGACGACTTCTCTTTCCGCTGCTGTCGAACGCGGCGGGTATTTATCTTTTCTCTGTTTTTAAATAATCGACTACGACCGGTTACTTTTTTAAAAATGTTTTAAGGGGTAAGATCACTGTAAAAACCTGAAATGAAGCATTTTTTTGGATGGATGAAAAAGTAAGAGGATAATATTCAAGAATGTTATTAACCATGTCGTTAAGTGTTACAAAAAAAAATGTTTATTCAAAAATAGTGCAAATTTGTATCTGGAAGAAAACAAAAAATTTTCTCTTACTTTGCATGAGTATAGCTAGAGAAATACGTAGGTGATCTTCGATAAGTTAATTTTAACATTATTTATTGACAAATGATTGCCCCATTTTTTGTACGAAATTGAACTTTCTACTTCAAACGATCGCCAATCACAAAAAAATTAATGTTTCAAAAATCCCCTACGTATTTCTCTAGCTATACTCATGCAGATTAAGAGAAAATTTTTGTCAGTTACACTGCATGCCGCAGAGTGCCTGAAATTCAAAACGCGCCTCGCGAGAATGGTTACAGCATCGTCATTTTGCACTATTTTTGAATAAATATTTTTTTTTTAACACTTAACAACATGGTTAATAACATTCTTGAATATTATTATCCTCTTATTTTTCCATCCATCTAAAAAAAAATCGTAAAAAAATGCCTTATTTCAGGTTTCTATACTGGTCTTGCCAAATAAAAACTCGATCAGTTCGCTCGTTTAGGAAGGAGCTTAATAGTTAGGGTATCAGCGTGGATTTCGGAGATTTACCCGCGCAATTATCGAAGAGGTTAGAAACGCTACATTTTTTTGCATCGCATTGATTTTATATTTCATTTTATCTTGCACAAATTATTTATTCGGATTTTTTATTTTTGTCACGAGTCTTCATACAATTCTTAATAATTTTTCGGAAACGAACTATGTAAAAGGCACTTATAATACGGAAAAGGCCGAGTAACATCGATTGCACGACTAATTCGATTGTCGAATTAAATGGTGACATACCACAGCATAAAACAGTTAATATAAAACCTTCCGCACCAACCGTAGAGAAGAATTTTCCGGCCTGAAAAATTTTTTATTATTATTATTTATTATTATTTATACAGTTTTAATTTTACCAACCAATGCATCCTTAAAGAGTTTGTTGGCTACTACTTCTGGGTTCACTAAAGAACTGGTTTCTGATATGAGTTTTGTTTCAAGAGGTTTTGATAGCTCTTCTATGGCAAAACCTGGTGTATCTGTATCTGGAGGTAGACTAAGAGTCACAGAAATGTTATACGGTGCAAGTTCCATGGCTATACTTTCAGCTAAACCACGGAGTGCAAATTTCGTGCTACAGTAGGCTGAATAGCCAAATATACCTAGACAATAAAAGGATACATTAAAAGTTAATTAGATAATGAGAATAAATGTAATTAAATAACATTGAAGTGCATACCTAATAGTGCAGCTTGGGAAGAAGTTAAAACAATAATTCCTTCCTGAGAAGCTTTCATTCTTTGTACGACAGCTTTGGTGCAATAATAGGATCCCAAGAAATTAATGTGAATCATTTTTTTTAAATCTGCAACTCTGGTATCTTCAATTTTTCCACAAATTGCAGTACCAGCACAATTCACTAACATATATATTGGACCCATAGTTCTTTCTAAATCACCTAAGGCTTTTTCAACCGTCTCGTAATCTTCGCCAACATCAAGAGATAAATATTCGATTTTTTGAGTGTCCTTGTTTTTGCAAACATGAACTATTTCGTTTCTTGCTGCTTCTAATTTTTGAACATCTCTTGCAATTATTGTCACATGTGCCCCGTATTTGGCAGCTGTAATTGCTACACATTTTCCTATACCACTTGATCCACCAGTCACCTAACAAAACATATTATTTTTCGTAAGAAACGTCTACAACTTTTAAACAATAAACAGTAAAAGCCGGTTAAAGAACTAACACAAAAACAGCACAAATACGGACACTCGTTATATAGTTTTTTAAAACTGATTGCTAATTAAAAACGAAAAAAAAATTTACATGCACATTAACGAGTAAAATAATGAAAGTAAACATTAATAATCCTGGTGTTTCTATAAGTAAAACATTAATTTATTAACAACGAATCGCTTTAGGAGAGGTTAAGTCTAGGTTAGATTTGTATTACTTACAACTACGTGTTTGTTATTAACGGTTTTTAGACGTGCTCGCCAAAAGAAATATCTTGAAAGCAAAACCGTGATTAGAAAAACAACAATTATTGCGTAAATTAGTATTATGTTAAGCATTATTACAATAACTTTCTACAAAGTTGATAACAGCACTACGTACCGACATAAACTAGTGATATTCAATTCCGAGTTCCATTCTTCTACCACCATCCAGAGATGTCAGTTCAGAGATGCCAGAAAAGCACCGCCGGGTGCACACGCACACATGCCAGATACGCGTACGTGAGCTCGTGGAGTTTCGGAAAGTCGACAAAGGCAAACTGACGCATGCCCTCTTTCTCGATTCTCCGAAGCCGCCCGAAGTAATTTCGGATCGCCTCGTGGGAGTCGAGAGAGAAAGGCTCACATTTGCCTTCTCGCTCTAAACAACTGAAATCCGACCTCCAGTCAACGGCATACGATTTGGATTCTCGAGCCGAGATTCTCGACTGCCCAGGCATTTTTACTTTCCGACCTATGTAGGCGCACGTAAGCAAAGTACCCATAATGAAAAAAAAATTTTGTGAAATTTATTTTACGGAAATACACGTTTTAAGACCTCCTGATCATATTTTAATTATTGAAAAAAAAGACATTTTTTTTTATTCCCATGTATGAGCACACATATGTATATTATTAATACGATTGAATATAAATAGCTGAATGAATTTAAATGAAACTTTACATTTAAGTGTTATGTTCTCATTTCAAAGGCGTGTGGACGGATTCAAATACGTGAACACTAAACGTAACGATGTAATTATATTATTTAATATTTACTAACTATTTAACATAAAGAACATAAAAGAAAGACATAAAACGTAAACGTAAAAGATCATAAACGTAAAACTGTGATTGCTCTCGACTAACGTTCGATACAGAGTGACGTTCCTGCAGTCAAAGTTGACCCTTCCTTATTCCTATCTTATAATAATGATCTAAACAAAACGCACATTCGAGACGCAGTCTCTAAAACGTATTTCAGCTTAAACCTAAACACCTCACTCGATACCTACTCTAGCTTATTGTTAGACTAAACACTCCTATCGACGCAAACGATAACGGTTCTCCTAGCCACACACATACACTCCTTACAGATTATACCTCTTGTTTCATAGTTGTTCCGATATATGTATAGGCATAATGTATAAAAAATCTTTTAAATGTTTCATATAAATCTTAGGACGAATTAAATTTTATATAAAAAAAATTATATAAACTTTTTCTCTATCTTCTCTAGAAAAGAAAACATTAAATGAAATCTTATACATTCAAATGTTTTAGAATAATGTGCAAAATGTGATTGTGATTTTCGCTAAGACAAATTGAAAACTCGTTTCTAACAAGGAAAAGTTGGAATGGTACCAGGTTTTGGGTTAGGTTTTACTTTGAGATATTATTAAAGTTATTACAGGTACTTATTTTCAGAAATAGAACTATGTTCACCAATAATCAGCGGGGCGTGAGTGATGAGGTCTTTGCCTGCAAGTTCCGAACTTCTTCTGCTGTGCTGGTTCGAACCCTGCCAAAACAAATCCTTTTTTTTTATTTTTTCAATCATATTTTAATCGTACACTAAATGTGACATTATATTTTTGTCTGACCTTCGAATATTTTTTTTTAAAGTTAAATTTAACCGATTACATTTAACATATGTTATTTTCAATGTACGAAGTACATGAATCTGGATGGTACTTTTCGTAAAAACAGTGAAAACATAACAATTTCAAGCACCACCTACATCTAATGAAAGTTCTGTTTTCACAGAAATAACAAAATTTTGTATTTAACTCTGATGGAAAGGCCGCTTCATTTACATTGATAAAATGTGAACGATTTTCGGATAGTCGTACCTTGTAGCTCGTACTTTTTACCTTATACTTCAGGTAAAAAGGGATATAGCTGAGAAAAACAGTTTTATGACATTACCTGCTAACTTATGTTACTGTTCTACAATGAAACGCTATGTTTTGTACCTTTAAAAATATTCGACTATGTGCTTTTAAAATTTAAGATACAACCCATACTTTGTATTAAACTGGCAAACGGGATCACTTTTCCTTTGTTTCTAGTTAGTTCTATTTAGTTCGTCATAACCAATTGATACGGTTATTTCAAAACAATCGAGGAAAATCATTATTAATTAATTTCTGCAATTATTAATTCTACTGTTTTGTTTATGTTATAAAAGTAAGAACTCTTCTTATTGAAAAATACCACAGCGTGCACAATACTGGTAAAGAGTGGAATCTCATTTTAATTTATTAATTTTCAATCTTAAAGTATTTTGATTTTCAAAAATCGTATTACAGTGAAAACTCGATAAATGTCGCTACTCCGGGTCCGGTCAGCAACACTTACGGAATAGGAGAATCGTCTTTCGAATTTGATTGTAGTTTGCCGACGCTTCGAACGTAGAAAGAGTCAGTAGCTAAAGAAGAAAGAGGGACTGAAACTCGGATTTATCGCCCCAGTTTAAATATCCGCGTCAGTGTGACCACACTACTGCACTGAAGAAAGTTTTTTATTTTTTACTTTTTGTTAATAAAAATTTCACTATCATGTTGGGGAGATTTCTCTGATTAAAATGAGGCTAAACACGATATAAATCGGTCAATATTTGGTAGCATAATATTGAATTAAATATTGTACTTGCGAGTCTTTCTCTCTTTATTTATCCTTCTTGTGCTGTCCTTTTCTATGTTCGGAAATATCAAAGAACGACGCATCGTGGTGCTGGCTACATTTATCGAACGGGAGGTACTTAGCTATTTTCAAACGGAATGGTTCCACCGTTTCGTAAGTGATCAAAAACTGCAACACTTATGAAATAGGGGGTTTCGTTAGCTACCACTGTTCGATAAATGTACCAATCCACTGACCTTGCGAAGATACGAGTACACAATATTTAATTCAATATTATGGTAACAAATATTGGCCGATTTATATCGTGTTTAGTCTCATTTTAATTAGAAAAATCTTCCCCACATGATAGTAAAATTTTTATTAAAAAAAAGTAAAAAATAAAAAACTTTCTTCTTGTACAGTAGTGTGGTCACACTGACCACACATTTAAACTAAATTGACGAAGGCAATAAAGATTTTTAAAGAAAGCCGCTAAGTCTCCGGTTACACTTCGCCTCACTGGTTCAAGGGGGATCCCCCTAGTGGTGGGGATAAAAATGTATCATTTATGGAACAGCTCTTGAGGACATTTATCGAGTTTTCACTGTAATAATATACATATGTGTGCTCATACATGGGAATAAAAAAAAATGTCTTTTTTTTTCAATAATTAAAATATGATCAGGAGGTCTTAAAACGTGTATTTCCGTAAAATAAATTTCACAAAATTTTTTTTTCATTATGGGTACTTTGCTTACGTGCGCCTACATAGGTCGGAAAGTAAAAATGCCTGGGCAGTCGAGAATCTCGGCTCGAGAATCCAAATCGTATGCCGTTGACTGGAGGTCGGATTTCAGTTGTTTAGAGCGAGAAGGCAAATGTGAGCCTTTCTCTCTCGACTCCCACGAGGCGATCCGAAATTACTTCGGGCGGCTTCGGAGAATCGAGAAAGAGGGCATGCGTCAGTTTGCCTTTGTCGACTTTCCGAAACTCCACGAGCTCACGTACGCGTATCTGGCATGTGTGCGTGTGCACCCGGCGGTGCTTTTCTGGCATCTCTGTGTCAGTTTGAGCCGGGTGGATTACTCACACAATGCCAGATCACGCTTACGAGAGCTCGTAGAGTTTCGGAAAGGCGACAAAGGCAAACTGACACATGCTCTCTTTCTCGATTCTCCGAAGCTACCCGAAGTAATTTCGGACTCGTGTGAGTCGAGAGACAAAGGCTTACATTTGCTTTCTCGCTCTTGAACAACTGAAATTCGACCTCACGTCGACGGCATACGATTCCAAGTCTCGACTGGTCAGGTATTTTTTACTTTCCGACCTATGTATGTAGACGAACATAAGCAAGGTACTATAATGAAAGAAAATTTTGTGAAATTATTCTTACGGAAATACACGTTTTAAGACCCCCTGATCATATTTGAATTATTGAAAAAGAATAAATTCTTTTTTATTATTCCTATGCATGAGCATACATATGTATATTATTTCAGATATCACTTCTGATACATCTGGCAACGTATAACCATTACTGCTAGCTACTGCCAGCCTCTCACAGCCTCTGCTGGCTTCTGCTGGCCACTGCTGACCACACCTGATACTTCCGACAACGTATAACGATTACTACTGGTTACTGCCAGCCTCTCCTGACCTCCGCTTATATTTCTGACAACGTAAAACAATTACGACTGACTTCTGCCAACCTCCGTTGGCCTCTGCTGATCATTGCTGATCTCTACATGCCTTTACTGGTGGCTAACTTGAGTTAACAGGTAATGTCATAAAATTGCTTTACCTAGTTATACCCCTTTTTACCTGAAGTATAAGGTACGACTAAATGTACTTTTGAATTTTCCTACAGTCCTCCGCTGGCCTCCGCTGACCACTGCTGATGCTACCGACAACGTATAACGATTACAACTTGCCACTGCTTGCCCCTGCTGGTCTCTGCTTGTCACTCCTTGCCACTGCTGGCCTCCGCTGGCCTCTGCTGGCCGCTACTGACCACTGCTGACCACCACCGATGCTTCCGACAACTTGTGACGATTACTACATGTTATTGCTTGCCCCTTCTGGCTTCTGCTGGCCCCTGCTGACCCCTGCTGGCCCCTGCTGCCCCTGCTGACCATTGCTGACCACTGCTGGCCACTGCTGGCCACTGTTGGCCTTTGTTAACAACTTCTGACATGATATATATGTATTAAAACATTGTATAATGTAAATCTATGGCAATAAATGATATAATTACAAAGAATTTTATGTGTTCTCATCATTTTTTACCTTTCTTTTCCTCTCCAAATCATTACCTTAGTTATAAGACTCCCTGAAACTCCTTGGTTTCCCTGAACCCACTAGGAAGTCCTGAAACACCTCGGAAGTCCTGAAACTCAGAACTTTGCTAAAAATTCAGGGGTTCCAAGAATTTTCGGCGTTTCCAAGAAATTCCAGGACTTCCCAGTTGTTTCAGGGTTTTCCAGCTGGTTCGGGACTTCCAAAGGGGTTCCAAAATTC